CATGACACCCCCCCCCCCGGATGTCTCACCCATGGCCATGGGTGCTCCCTTGAGTTTCCAGTCATGGTTTTCTGTGGGAATGTGGTCCAGGGCTGACCCTGCACAGGAACAAGTAGATGGGCTTTGTTGGAGAGATGGCAGGCCTGGGAGGCCTTCCTGTAGAAAGTGGGCTTGGGTGAGATCTTAGGGAGGGGAGAATTAGTCAAGTGGTGACAGGAAGGAAACTGGTACTCGGTAACCTTCTGCATCTCAAAGCACCACTTTTGCTGATACTGGCTTTGAACAACACGAGTGGCTCCTCGGACTCAGCAGAGGCCCCTGGGAGGGGACACAAGTGTCATCATGGGCAGCCAGGACACACCTTGGGGTCCTCAGTCCCTGGGCACAGGAATTCCTTCCACAGCACGCTGACCAGAGGAGAAGTTCACGGAGTTAACGCTCACTGAACCATCCAGTGACACCGGCTGCTGCTCGCCCTGGCCGGCTGGACTCAGTTCAGCCTTGAGCTCAGGGGCCAGATGAGCTGGCCTGTGGGAGACACTGGGGCAGTGAGCTGCGGGTACTCGAGCTCGGAGAGCTTGTGGGGACTCCTTGCACAGCTGAGGCCGCGAGCTGGGCCATGTGCAGGGTAAGTGCAGAGAAGCAGAGTGGCCGCTCTGAGCACCCCGAGGGACAGAGGTGGGGCAGCTCCTGAACCTGCTGTCTGGGCCCCTGAGAGTACAGTGACACCTCCCTGAGTATCTGTGGGACGGCCCTGTGTCTTTACAATTCTCTTCCATTTGTGTGACCTCTGACCTCTGACCAGGAGCCCCCTGAGGAGCCTACCCTCCTACCTCTGTGCTCAGTCAGGAAAGGCCCGCTTCTCAAGGAGGCTGGAGGGTGGAGCTGGGGTTCTCTGAGGGCAGCAGGCAGACCTCTGCCTCTCTAGCCCGGGCCTCGCCCCCGGGAAGTGCACCAGTTCTCCAGCCCGTGCTGGCCCTGCTGCCGCTGGCTGTGCTTGAGCTCCCCAGGCACTGCCAGTTTCCGGGGGCTCTGGGCCAGGCCTGTCCTCCAGCCAGGGCTCCACTGAGGTCACATGGAAAACAGCCCCCAGGGTCCCCCAGCCTCCCT